AAGACAGAATGTATGAATTTATTATAAGAAAAAAGTGTGCAAATGAACTTCCTGTAATTAGGCTATTCTGACCTGTGTAGAACCACACTTTGTTTGAAATTTATAAAAATTATAACTAGTACAAAACATTGTGGTTGATGTCTCTGTATACAGTAACTAGTCAAACGAGCTTTCCTTCTATTCAAAATAAAAGAGTACCAGTAAAGGCACATCATCACAGTAAAAAAAAAAATCCACTACCTCTGTCCAATATAACTTTACTGGTCCAACACATGTTGCAAAACCCATGTTGTTTTTTACCCATGTTCCTAAATCCCTGGGGCTCTGAGGAGAGTGCAGAGATTCACACAGGCATTTCAGAGCCACACATGCTAATGCTGCTGCAGCCATAAAGCAAGAAACTTGTAAGATAACTTTATTATAGTTCCCTCCAAGGTATCTGCTCACCTTTGGCTACCAGTGGTTCATTACAAAATGCCGATTAACCCAAAAGTGCGTTGTGGATCACGTAGAAGGGCAAGAAGGTAAAACTGTGAATGTGGAAACAATGCAACAGAGAGAGCAAAAGAAATTTGAACTCATTTCAGCCAGTCTCTAGATTTCTTCAAAGAAAGCACTCACCTCACTTGAGTTTTCAAGTCATTGGCCTTATTGTGTTACAGTAGTGGTATGAGAAGATAAAGAATTAGAACCACACCAGGTCTTAGGTGTGGGGCTTGCTTAGTTCGCCCCACGGCAAAGGCCCCAGGCTGGCAGAGCAGCCGCCCACGTGAGCAGGCGTGATGCTCTCCTCTTGCACATCCCCAGTGCCTGGCTATGCTTGCTGGGACCTGCCCACGCAGCTCCTGTCCCAGCTTGGCGTGCTTTGCAGGAGGCACTTCTCAGGACACGGGTGGGGCGTTGCTGTTTGCTGAGGAGAGTGTTTGGATGCAGCACTGAAGGTAAGCCACCCCTGCTGATCCTCCTGCAACAAGCTCAACCCCAGGAGCAGGACTGAACCCGCCAGCAAAGGCTGCTGATAGTCCCCAGCTGGGACCAGAGCCCATCCAGGGCTTTGCTCAGGTCTGTCTTGTCTTTAGCAGGTGCTCTAGAGATGGCTCAAGATCACCCCTCTCCCTTCTGTGCCTTTATATAAGTTTGGCCCTAAAGAAAGTAGCTTGTATGAGAAGAGAGAGAAAGTACTGATTTATAGGTTGTAGTCCCCCCGGGGTGCAGATGCAGACTGCACCAGGTTTTCAAAACTGCAGAGAGCTGCATGAAGCTTCATGTGGCCTTGCAGAGCCCCAGGTCCCAGCTGCAGAGTGAGAGCCTGTCCCCCCCTGTTAGACCAGCAGTCATTTCTGTTTTCACTTTCTTTCCTAACCATCATTTATTTCCTTCTGTGGTATTTTGCAGACGAGAAGCATCCGTCTCCCCTTCTCTCTCCACCTCCTTTCCAGCCATGTGACTGAGTGCTCCCTGCATCAAGTGAAACTTTGCAAGTCCCCAGGGAAACTTGATTTCCTTTCCACCCTCTCCACGGTTAGAAGCAGAATCTCCCAAACCTGCAGCTGTGCTGGCCATGGGGAGGAGTGCATGGCCATTCGTCTTGCTAACCTTTGCCTCTGGTAAGTAACATCCTTCATCATTTCTATCAGAAAAATGAGGTAGACTATGCTAGTTTTGTTTCCTTGCAGTCAGAACAGCACCTAACAGACTGAAAACTTTAAACAGTTTTGCTGCTAACACTAAGGGTGCTTTTAGCAAAGTCCCACTGCTAAGAAATGACTATAACTACATTTATTTGCATGGGATAGACTGTCTGATTTCCTCCTGTGTATTTTCCCTTGCACTCTGTGGTGACATAAACTCTGACTGTGTGATGGAGTCAGCTCAAAGTAGTATTAGAAGCAGACTTTTTGGGCTTGCTTTTCTTAATTAAAAATAGCTTCCAGACCAGCAGAACTGAGTGAAAGTCTTGAGAGAGGCAAGCAGAATTAAAAACTGAGGAAGTGTTGCTTGAGACATTTGTCTGCAAGATGCAAAGCATGATTGAGAAAGCAAGAGTGAGGCAGGGGCTTGGAGAAGGCAGGCTGGAGCTTATCTCAAACAACAAGCCCACATCAGAGTCACCGTTCAACCCTTAATGCTGCTCTGTGAATATCTGTGGAGCCAGGCTGGTTGAGGACGTGTCCCAGCATGGGAAGTCACCCTCAACACTCACAGCATCACCAAATCTGGCAGGTGAAGAAGGACAGAGTGTGATTTAAGCTGTGTAATGGCTAAAGGGTCCAGCTCATTAGTGAGGCGCTGGATTTCTGCATCCATCGGACGTTTTGCCATCAGTACCCAGGGAGCACACAGGTAATGATCTTTGTGCCCCTCTCAGCACAGTGAACAGAGAAACAACCCAGGGACTCACCCACAAGCAGTCCAGTCCTATCTGCTCTTCCCCCTATTCCCACTCCATAGCCAGTGACCACTGAAGTAGACATAGACACGAAAGGAGAGCAAGATCACACTAAGAGAAGGAACACTAATAACAGTAGTCAGCAAGGATCTTTTTGACCAGCAAGGACTTTTTTCCTAAGCTCTTTATCCACTTTTGATCATTCCTTTAATAATTTGTTGTGCTATTTTATTAATAACGTGAAGTAAAGTCTTTCTGTGCACATAGGCAATTAAATATAAAGAGTCTAAAGGATATAGGTCTGATGAGTTGCAATTTTAAGAAACTGCTCCTGTGTTGGAGGGAAATGATTGCAGTACCAGAATCTCTCAGAAAATCTTGGTTGCTTTCCAGTCCTCCTCAAGGACTCAAACCAAAGCAGCCAGAAGCAACAAGAGTGTTTTCAGTGGTTATATGAGCTGGGGCAGGTTTTTGTCTAACAAAATCAGTTAGCTAAACATGAGCATTTCTCCTGGGCAGCATAAAGCAGAACAGCCCTGCTGGGTGGCTGTGCAGCATGAGTGTGTCGCTAGATAAAAAGGGGAAAAAATCCTCACCAAGAGTTTTTTTCCTCCCAACCCATCACAGGATAGCAGGCTGAGAAATGACACAGACAGATTTTGAGTGCTGCTTTTCCCACCACAATGCCTGGGAGAAGTGACATTCCTTTGCTAGCATTGACTAAAACTTGCCACCAAAGAATGAAAACTGGGGCTCTGGGCCAAGACTGAGAACAGTGAATTTCTGAGAGCTGCCCTGATACTTTTCTGAGGGTTTTGTTCTGGAGTGTTGCGTGCACGGAGGCTTGCTGGGCAGAAGTCTGTCCCTCAGCATTTGTAACACACAATTTTGAAGCTGAGGTGAGATGAGGGAATTGCAGCTGCTTGCTCCAGGAAGATGCACTTCAGGGAGCACACATTCCTTAGGCAAAATGCTGGCTTCATAGAAGTATTGAGCTGGCTTCATAGAAACAGAGAAGATACAGAGCTGCAGAGCTGCAGTTCTTCATTGTTCTGTGGCCCTTTTTGCTGGCAGAGCTGTGAGAAGGGCTGTGGTAGAGGGAGCTGTGCAGGTGGCCCGTTTGCTGAGCTGTGCCAGGCTCCCCAGGAGGCAATGCTGTAATGCTGAGGGAGCCATGGCAAAGCCTTCCAGGCCTTAGTTAGAGAGTAGGTCAGGTACCCCATGGGCCCACCTGCCCCTTTGCACAGCAAAGCTACCAAACTACCTCCAGCAGCCACCCAAGAAGAGCCAAGACCACTAGGTGCAACCAGAGAGTAATCCAGGGAGCTAATGTGGCCAAATGCCTTTTGAGAAGACAACCCAAGACAACCCAAGCATGGCTGTGCCTCTACAGAAGCTCCCAAATGCTTGGGGGAGTCGTGGGAAGCTGGAGGAGCAGTCTGCTAGGCGAATACGAGCCATGGGCCACCCCAAAGACATTTCTGACTTTACCCCTCGGTGGCCCTGTCAGGCTGAATGTTTCTCTGAGGAAAAATAGTTAGGTTGAAATGACCTTTTGGGGAAAATGAAGTTTCATTTAAAAGCTATGGGCAGCATCCAAATGTCAGTGAACGTTTCTCTCCACATCTGTAAGATAAGTGTTATCTGGCCAGTAATCAAAACCAGTCTGTTACCTAAAAACTAGGATGACCTGACTAGTTAAGACTTCTGTAAATTTAAATATGGGTTGTTTTGCAGTCTTATAAGGGAAAAAAGAGTGAAAATTGCAACTTCTTTTTTATTTATATCATGCCAATATACTTAGATACAATTACCTATAGCTGGTATATGTCAACTGCTCTGATTTTCCACTGGTACACAAAGAAGGAGACAAGTTATCTGCTTATCTCTGCCAAAATATGTGGTAAAGTCTAGGGGAAAGTGAGAAAATTAACTCAAGTATCATATTAATGACGCATTTTTACATTCCTTCTGATAAAATTCACAATCAGAGGGATCTGTCCTCTTATTTTTGTGGCTTTTCAATTACATCAAGTTATGCTGCTTTGATGATAACAGCCATACTGGCAGTCAAGGATATTCTGTACAGCGCAGAGGTGAAACCCAGGCAATTTTAGGAAAATGGAGTACATAGTTACATTTCTGCTTTTCTCTAGCATAGCCATTTTGAAGGGAAAATTGTGGTGTGGGTTCAGATCTGTACATCTGTTCTCTTTTCTTTGGTTTTGGTCTCGAATTTGATTCAAAACCCAGCAGGTTTTATTATTATTATTTAGTTTATATGTATCCTAAAATGGTGATATTTCGTGAATTCCGCTGGTGTTGCAGATCTGTTCATGCTCAGTGAAAATAAATACTTGAAGGAAAGAAGAGCTTGTGAGATTTCAGCCATTTCTACTCTGAATGTGCCTCTGGCCTTCATCAATCCTAAAATCCAAATCTCAGTAACCTACTTGCCAAAAGCCTTCCTGCTTTAGCTCGTAGCTTCACCTTGCCCTTACAGAGTCTTATTGCATACTCACAATCAAAGACTCAAGCAGAGGAGTTGTGAACTTCACCTATTCTACAATGTACTTTCCCTGCTTTTTCTTCACTTCATTATTTACATTTAGAAGCCGAGTATTTTTGGTTCTGGAAGGCCATGTTTCTATACATATTATAAGATGGAAGTGTAATTTTGGTGTTGTGACTACTTTCAGATGTGGTCCAAAACACCCCTGGATGCTGTACCCTGAAATGTGTTTCTCATTGCTGAAAGCCCATCACTAAGAGGGCTGGTCTTTCCTTGTTTGGAGCATCCCCTTGGGTACCTCCCAGGAGGAAGGACCTCAGGGTTCAAGATGGAACAGTTACAACAAAACCATAAATAAATATCTGGAATTTTTCTGTTTCCCAGACTATTGTGAATCACTGTAGGACCATTAAGATGCCTCACTTGCTTGACACACAAAAAAATGTTCTTTTTGCCCATGGCAAATAATCAACAACCCCTTTGCCTGTTACTCACACTTCGCCTGCCTTAGACCCTGATAACCTGCTCCTAGCAAACCCTGGTGTACCACCGCCAAGCACAAGAAGGGAATTCTTGTGCTTCCTGGGCGTTGTGCAAGCTCTGCTCACACCTCTGGCAACCCTTGGCTTCTCCAGCAGTAAGAGCAGTGTGTGGGGAGCTGGGAGCCAATGTGCTGCCACTGCAGTGGGTACAATCAGAGGTGTGAAGAGCAAGGGACTGGTGAAAAGTTATGGGTAGTCCTAATGCATGTCTGCTTTCACTCTCCTATCATGAGTACCCAAATGGAAAATAAAATCATGTCACTCATTTGATAAAAAAAATCAGTACAGTTATGTTGTTGGTATCAACACAGACATTAAATGTAAAGGCTCCTAGCCTGACTTGTTTGTTTCTTTGCAGCACTTTCCTCCTACTTGGCTGAAGTGGCCTTAGGGGTCGAACTGTCTCCAGAAACCACGCCCTTCCACCATATGGTTATTTCTGCTCAGCCACCTTCCCTGTATCATTCTTCACCCCATCAAGGCACCACAGTTCATTTTAACAGCACAAGCTCTCTTAAAACGGCACCCACAAGCCATAGAACGACTGTGCAGACAGAGGAGCACCAAGTAACAACAGCATCAGGCCAACACACGGCAGACCAGGCAGGAGCAACCACCATACAAGTGACTAGTCAGAAATCTTCCACGGTGGTATCCACAACCTCAGCAGGCAATACAACTGCAGCTGGCCAGGCCACAACCCGGGCAATGGAAACGGGTACGCCTGCGGTGGAGAACACAACTGTACACCCTACGTCCTCACCCAAGCAAGCCAGGACACACGTGACCACAGAAGTTACAGTGACGGCCACAAACACAACCACAAATACATCAAATACACAAATGACATCTGCTGCTGCAACAACTACAGCCTTCACCATGCAAACTGTAAAGCCCACCACAGGGTCAGGAAATCAAACAACAGCACCTAAAAGTCCAACAGCCACGGCCATGACCAACACAACAACCGTTCATCCAAGGACTCAGACAACCACCCAATCTACTACGATGACAATGAGATCCACCCTTGCACCACAGCCTTCTCCCATCCCCACTGGAACATACACTGTTTCCAATGGGACCAGGACCTGCATCAAAGCAGTGATGGGTTTGCAGCTGATGGCTCAGAATACAGAGAAGGTGAGGTGGAAGCACTACAAGGCTGAACTTTGTCATGTCTGTTTCTTGATTAGCTGTAATTTCTTCTTCTTGTTTCAAAGCAATTTTCAGAAGTTGGCTTGTGTGTTAAAAATAAGTGGTTTGCTACTAGTCTAAGGCTTTTCCTGTGCCACAGCAGCTCAGCTGCTGTACTTTGGCTTGTATAAGGATGTCAGTGGGACATATGGATGCTTTCTTACTTCAGTGATTGATGTGTAGCAGCAATACTGGGGGTTAGATAAGCCTTCACCATTATTTGTGCTTCCCAGAATGGTAGACTACTTAAAATCTGAATTGACTTCAGTGAAGGGCTTGACACTGTGAGCTGCAATGAAAACAAGAAATTGTCAATTCACAGACTTGGATTCACAGGTGGGTTGTCTTGATGCTGACACATGGAGATTTTCGGATCATGGGAACTGCCAGGCTGAATCAGAGCAGGGGTCCTGGAAAGCTGGTACCGTCTCCTAGCAGTGATCAGCAGTAGATGGTTCAGCAAAAAAGATGTCATAAAACCTAGAACGCTGATTATGTCTCTCAGACTTACAGTTCTGAGGCCTCTATTAATTCAATATGTGGGGTTACATCCCCAGGCTCTGGAGTTCATATGCCTCGAGCTATCCCCATTACAAAGCCAAATATTCTTGTTTGGGGTCTGAATTATACTAACATGGGATGAGTATCTAATGTTGATAAAAGTAATTTTCATCCCTCACGCTGGCAGCAGCTAGGCCAGGAACATGATTCCAAACTTCACCAGACCACAGTGAGATGTTTATTACATAAATAAGGTGTGTTTGAGATGAGACCAAAGAGGCCAAACTGTGTTCAGGGCTGCAGAGTTCTCCTTTCAGACTACAGTGTGGGTTGGTAGATGGTAGAGATGAACTGTGCAGGACATAAGGAGGAGGCTGGGGTGACATGAGGAGCAACACATGTTGAAGCCAATCTAACTTCTGTCTGCCTCTGTCTTGATCTTTGCCTCAGGCACATGTTCCCACTGCTCCCTCTTTTTAAATTACCATGGGTGCTCATCTGACACTGCTCTGAATCCTATCAGCTTGCTGAATGAGCAGAAAACTGTTCATTCAGCCACATACAGACTGTCTAAAGAAAAAAAAAAAAAAAAAAAGGCAGCTATAAATCTCTGTGTGTTTCTTATTAAGTTTCCCCTGTCCTCTTCACCAGCAGCCCTGCAATGTCTCTTCTCTCCACAGAAGCAGATGGAGTACATGGCTGTCAACCCCAACGCCACGGAGACATCTGGAAGCTGTGGGATGGTGCAGTCCGAGCTGACCATCACTTTCAGTGGAGGGTTTATAAACTTCACCTTTGTAAAGGTAATTGTTGCATTTGGAGGGAAGGAGTGTTTAGGATGGGGGAAGGAGTGTTTAGGATTGGGGAGATGGAACTTAGCCTACTTTTGATCTAGATTCTGCCATAGGAATAGGCATTTCATGCATCTCTATGCTAGTTTTCCACCTGTATATAAGGCAGTATTGCTCTTGTCCGTCCCAAGACACTAGAATCATAGAACCATTGATTAATTCAAGTTGGAAAAGACTCTTGGAGGCCACCTGGTCTAACCTGTTCAGAGAAGGGCTAATTTCAACATTAAATCTTGTCTTGTTCATTCAAACATTCAATTTGGAAAGGTTTCTACATGCAATGAAGGGTAAGTACAGTGCATTGCCATCCTTTGATAGAAAGTGCTAGAGGACAGTGTTAAAGCTACTTATTTAGCAACACAAGTCTAGAAAGATCCTCAAGCAAAATCCGAGTCTCATTTTCACACAGTCTCTAGTGGGAGGGAAGGCTGGGTCTGCTGCTTGCATTGCAGTGGGACAGAGGTGAGTGGGTCTGGGCTTGGAGTCCCTATGCAGGAACAAAGGGTGTGTGCCAGGAGCTTGACTCACACTATCAAGTAGCTCTTATGAACTGGTGTCTCAGGGACCACCTGAATCCGGGTGAGGTTAATCATTTGCTTCCCATAAATGCCAAGTATCACAACTGTCCAGCCAAATTAAATCTAAAGGGCAGCCTGTGCAATTGTAAGTGCCCAGGAGCCACAGCCCATCTGCAACTGAAGGGGCCCATTTCACCAATTTCTGAGTGGAAAATTCCAAACAAGTGAATTACAACAACAAAATTGTAGATAAGTGCCCTTAAAATGTACCAAACCAGGGAGACTTATAAGTACACACAGAAACTTAGGCAAGAGAGAGAGGCCCTGCCTCCATGGTGGGAAAATCAGCTTTCTTTTTGACATTGTGTCTGCTGATCCCATGCTCCCCACTGGGATCACATCATGTGTGGATGAGGCTGTAACATAAGTTACCCTGAGTGTTGATGCTACTATAACCACAGGACAAAATTGCTGAGTGTCACCCATCTTCTGGCTTCCTCATCATTTCCATGGTTTACACATTTTGGGAGGCAGCACGTAGTACAATTTATCTGAAAGCTAGTAAGGGCTGAGTGGTGATGTCAGCAGGGCTATGGACAGAAGTTAATACTGTGTATAAAGTCATTACTGAGCCGTGGGTTGGATCCCATCAAACTCTGACAGTGTAAGATGCGTTAAGGCCTCTTCCTGGAGCTCCACAGCAGTGCAGAGCTGCATTTGGCCATCACTGCAGTTCTCTGTCCTTCAGTTAATCAAGCTAAAATATCAATCTTACAGCCTGGTTCCAAGCTCAAATTAGTGACAATTAAGAAAAGTACAAATGGTTAATCAGTTATTTCCATAGAAAGTCCAAGAGGCAACAGCAAATTATACCACTCCTGAGTCATTAATGCTTGAGCAGAGAAAAGATTTCAATTAATAATCATGTCGTGATTTTAGTTTATGGCAGAAAGGTCTAAAAGCTACAGAGGAAAGTGAGGGAAAAAAATCAAGGAGCTGTTTTAAAACAAACGACCAGTTCAGATCATGAGTGTTTGCTTTAAACATATGGTTCCTGCAAGAAGGGAGCATTTTCGCTGTTACAAGGATCCTTAGAAAAAGTCTGTTGATTCAAGTACCTATGAAAGCCCCAGCTTGCAGCACCCTAAGGAGAGTGATGTGAACCTTTAGGAGGTACTTGACCCATCTTGCCCTGAAAACGGTGGTTATTGGCACAGCATTAGACAATCTACCCTTAACTTAAAGATAAGCCTCAAGAGCATAGCAGGGCTTGAGCCTAGATCTCTTTGAAATTCAAGTTAATAAGAAATGGTTTTGCTGCATTTTTTTATGTGTTTGGCCCCACTAGCCTCTCTAAGTGTTTTGAACCAGGAGCACTCCCATGGTGGTGGCACTTCCGCGTTCCACTGGTGAAGGAGGAGCTGGATTTGCCCCAGGGCTGCGGTGCTGGTGTGGGGCAGCAGGAGGTGAGCGGCTGTCTCAGTACTCACCACTGCCAGCTGCCTTTTGCAAAGAACCTGAAAAAAGAAAGTTTTAGTAACCAGCCCACAAGATATGAAGTAGGAGCAGGTGTTTCTCCCAAGTAAAGTTATTCACTCTGGCCAAAGAGACTGTAGTGCTGCCACCAAAAAAAAAAAAAGGTAATATTTGATGTACTTAGGTCTTTAAGTAGGAATAATGCTGAGAACCTCTTCTTTGGTGTATTTCTTTCTTAAACTTTCCCAATCCATCCTGCCAGCTTTTAAACTGCATAATATTAAAACTGGCCTTACAAGAGATGTTTACGTCTGCTGGCATTTATCCACCAGCTGCACTCACCACTCCCTCTGTGCTCACAACTGGCACTAAAACCAACAGAAGGGCTGCTGCACGAGCACTCACATTATACTGCAACACTGCTACCAGGGGAAAGCTCCTAGGGCTGGCTTTCACTTTGTGACAGTCCAGGGGAGGACAGTGTTCGGGCTGCACCACGCCTGTAGGGCACGTGCAGGCAGGACACCTCGCTGGAACTTTGGCTCTGCGTGGCTGCACTGGGTGCTTTCCATGGCAGCCGCCTGTATGTGTGTGACAAAACCCCAGCCAGAACCAGCAGTGTCAGCAGGGTGGAAAGAACAGTTACTTCTCCCCGACGCATCCAGGTTACCATTTCCTCTTTTGCAGTGGCTGCTGTTGACAAATAAGGTAGGAAAAGAGTGGTTGGAGCACGAGAGAGCTGCCAGCTCTCCGCCTGTGCGGAGCTCTCCCCGTCCAACGAGCACAGCATCACTGCTGCTTTCCGCTCCCTGCTGACCCGCAGGGCACCGCAGCGCTCAGGGTCCCCAGTTCTTGGAAAGGTGCGGGCTAAGGTCCTGCAGGCACTCGGACTGCAGGTCAGCACGGTTCAGTCCAGTGCAGGATGACTCAGGAGGGCACAGTGGGGACTCTCAGTGAAAGCAGAACAAGTGAATAAAAGCAAAACAGCTTATCACATGCCTGGTTATTTGTGTAATGTAAACTGTTCGCTGAACTCCTTCCTGCTTTTGGTTACCACCAGTACCACGCAAACATCTAGCTTGAGCAGCGTGTGTAAAATAATTCCTGCATGGTCCACTCTCACTGAACTGAGCAGAACTGATGCTGTAGCTGAGACTGCTGCATTAAACTCCGTCTAATAGCCAAGAAGTTAGTGATTTGGAAAAGAAAAAGCAATACATCCAAGCAGGTTGAAGGTGGTGCTCTAAAATATGTTTCTTTTGGAAAATTTGTGACCATTTTGCTGTGGTGACCTGTATTTTTTTTTTCACAAATATGAGGATATATTACAGATAAAGCTGTATCTTCCTTCACAGCAAGCTCCAACATACTACGTCAGTAAAATTGAGACCAGATTGCAGTTACCTTCTGGAGGTCAGTGATTTTACATTTCTTATTGTAAAAATTGTGATTTTACAATCTTAATTTCATATCAAACTGTTCCGGGTGTGGGATAGGCTTTCTTATCTTTAAAACACCGGATTTTGCAAATTACATGTTTTTGTCAGGATTTCAACATGTGCTTCCTCTAAATCTTATGGTATGAAAATGGAAGAGAAGGGACTGGGCTGCAATTTCAACAGAATTGTTCTATTTTCTGTTTGTCCCTCAAAACTTTTCAGAATAGAGATTACTACAAACCTAAATTCAAGATACAAAACAGTCCTCAATGTTTTTACCTGCAAACACACAAAAATGCTCCAGTTCATTTGCATGCATCTATCTAATCTAATAAGCAAACTAAATGAACACAGTATCTGGATCACATAGATGCAGAGCTGCATCCAGATTTCAAATACACCACCATGGAGAGGAGGTGTCTGACGTTTGTTTTTGGAAAAAATAACAACCGTAAACATTCTCGACATTGGGTCAGGAGTTGCTCTAGAGGTTCCATCCCAAGAAATGCTAAGAGGACATAATTTAGGTCAGTAAGAAAAACTTAGGATTTTCTCTGACATTAATTTGGCACAAATTCTTCCCACTATATCAAATCATTGATGAGTTAATGACTATATTATGTCACTTTTCCATTTCTTACTCATACGTATTTGGATTGACTCTTGTCCCTGAAAGAAGAAAAACAAATCAGGTATGTCCTAATAGCACTGAGTGTTTTGGAAGCTCAGTGCTTATTCTTCTCACTGATGAGCACTTTTATTAACTTGAGTGGAGCCTTTTCTCATCTACAGCAATTAAAGTGAAAGGAAAGCTGATCAAGAGGACGTCTGCCGGGGATGGTCTCAGTCTAAATGACAAGAGTTTTCCTGTGCTTTGCTAAGTGCAAATTGCAGTGAATGCAAACTGACTGGCTTCATTCTAAATTTTAAAATCCAAATATACTTTGAGTCCTCCACAGTGGTGGTGGCAAGAGACATTGCTACCTCTGGCTGTTTGTTACTGCCTCCCTGCCAGATGTTGCCATTTCCCAGCCCACTAGCAGTATTTTTACAGTAAGCAAGACTGTATCTTTTCTAAGATAAAAACGACTGAATTAACTGTACCAGTACACATTAATGTACTGATTTTGATTGAAGAGAACCAAGAGTATGCTGCACACTTGTGATGGCAGACGTGGTTGAGATGCGGTGATGCAGAGTTGGTGATGTGGATGATTTAATCTTAAACTGGTATATCTGTTTTCAAAGGATATTCATAAAGGATATGCCCAATTTACAAGACTTTTGCATGCTTTGAACTTGAGCCACACTTCCCATAAAGTACTGTGACACTGGAATACGTTTAAAAACATATTTAATACATAAAGCAGTGCAGACTAGATATGTCATGTTTTGTCTGGAAATAACTGTGCTGGAGACCCAAGATAGTTGTCTCCTCCTATGAGAATCCTAATGCCCTCCAAACTAAGTTTGTTAAAACATGATTTGAGGAATCATCTGAAATGGTAGCCACTTTTTCAGACCCAAGCTCAGCTGAGTTGCCCATTGATAATTAAAGCACTAATTTCAATATGCAGGAAATATAACAGATACCTTATGGGGGAAATGTCCATGTTTTAATCACATCTGTGACTGCTACTGTGCCAGAGCGCTGAGGATCATAGAATTACAGAATCATAGAGTCCTTTAGTCAAATAGGTTGTCCTATTGGTGGTTACTTGTGAGAAGAGGCCAGCAACCACCTCTCTACAAGTTCTTTTCAGCTAGTTGTAGAAAGTCATAAGGTCTCCCCAAGCCTCCTTTTCTTCAGACTAAAGCTCCAGTTCCCTCAGCTTCTCCTCATAAGACTTGTGTTCTAGACCCTTCACCAGCCAAGTTGCCCTTTTTGGGACCCACTCCAGCACCTCAATGTCCTTCTTGTAGTGAGGGGCCCAAAACTGAACCTAGTACTCGAGGTGTGGCCTCACCAGTGCCCAGTACAAGGAGAAGATCACTTCCCTAGTCCTGCTAGCTACATTATTTCTGATAGAAGCCAGGATGCTGTTGGCCTACTTAGCCACCTGGGCACACTGCTAGCTCCTCCATTTTATCTCAGAAAGATGTTGTGTCCAACAGTTAGCTGGATTCTTATCTGTCTCTCTTTATGGCTTCCAGGTATGCTTTATTATGGAACCATACAAAAGAAGCTGTTTACAACAAAGCTGGGGAACTCCTTTAAGTGTATCAGCAAGCAAACCTTCAGCTTGGAGAAGAACTTCCAGCTACTCCTTGTTAATATGCAGCTGCAGGCATTTGATATTGTCAGTAACCAGTTTGGAAAAGGTAAGTAGAAGGATACCTTTTCCACTCTTCTGAGATCTATGTGTTATGGTAGCCTGATAGATATGATCTGCTAGATTATAACCATACATGTGTGGTGAAGCTGTTAATAGCACAATCACAGCTTTGTAATAGTTCCCAAATAATGTAACGTGCCTGCTCTGGATTCTCACCTTTTTATGAGCCATTTTCAACACATGGAAGATGGAAAAGGATCTTTCCCTCCTGCATTCAGTACCTTCTGTTTCTCCTTCTCATTAAAAACATTCAGCTCTACAGCCACAATTTTATTCTTCACCCATTTTCTCCCAGCGTAAGTGGAGATGTGTTCACCACCATTGCACTGCCTAAACCCCTAACAGGTACAGTTCAGCTCAAGGTCACTGTTCTTGATATAGTCAGACTCTAGCTATTTTGAAAAGCTCTTGACACTCACGATGTCACACAGCTGCAGCTGCAAAACTGCCAACTAATAAGGGATATTTGTGAATGCAGGATGATACTTTCAGAGCAGCTGTGTCTAGACATGCTGAAACGTGCTCCTGAGGAGCAGCACGATTGGCATACTTCCAGTTTCAGGGTTAAAGGTGATGTTCATCTCTGCAATTTGTCTTTTCTTGAGTACAGCCACAAAGAGGCAGCCGTGTAGCTTAGTGAAAAAACAGAGACAGTCCAGTACTGACTCCCCTGGTCTCTGGATTGCCCACATCAGGAGAATGTATTTGGGCTCATCAGAGCTTCTTCCTACACCCACACCTGAGGTTCTTTCCTCAGGGAAATGAGATGTTGTCATCCTTGTTTCTTGTTCAGTGATGCAGCCAGGACCTGGCCAGGCTTTGGGGTGCAGTACTACTGGGTGCACCATGAAAGTCCCATGTCCCACAGTACGGACACTTTAATGGTCTACTGCCTTACTTCTTATGAGATGCACAGAAGAGCCTACAAAAAGCAGAGAGGTGGACCAGATAGGACTCTGTGGTCTCTTTCAAATTGTGCATCTTCACATTTCTGTGACTTCCTCTCAGGATGTTTCTGTAAAAAAACTTGGGTGGACAGATAGGCTTATCAGCTCTCCAGCCCTTCAGATGCACTAATAAAACATTCCCTTCTTCTGACATTTGACTTTCTGCATGCTTGAAAAATATTGCCTCTGTATTCTTCTTTTCACTTTAGATCTGTGTTTTGACTCAGTTCAGCTCTGTTTGACTGATTCTTCTTTTGTTTGTATTTCACAATTCTGGTTGCCTTTCTTATTCTAAAAGTAATATAATGGGAAAAAACATTTGGGGCTTTTTAAAGATGTACTTCTTTTGCATATTTTTCTTTAAGTTCTTAAAATCCACACTGAGAATCCAGTTTATGCTCTCATTCTCATGAAGATTTTTTTCATGGGACAACGCTGAGCTGGAACAAGTCATGGGATCCCATCAGGTCCCCAACTTCCCATTTGATTTTGTAAAATGGGTAGGTTCAGTTATGGTTTTTGGTATGGCCTCACCTCTAGCAGAGACAGAGCTTACCGGACCCTCTCTCTCTCCACCTGCCCCAAGGTCACACTAATTTCTGATAATCAATAGCATATACAAAACTCAGTTGGTTTTGCTCTGAATCAAAGGGCTGAGAAAGCAGGTACCACCTCTGAAGTAATTCCCCAGTGGCCTTGAAATGGTTATGAAAGTGTTACGTTACCTCTGGTGTGTATGCAGATTTTGAGAGACAAAATCCCCAGTTTAGGGATGACTATACACATCACCAGCACCCTCCCATTGGGTGTTTCAGGACTGGCAGTTTCACTTCTGTTGCTTCTGATTTGTTATCTTTAAAAGGGGAAGAAAAAGAAAACACTAATGAACATTGGTTGCAAGTTCCTTGCAATTTTGTACTGACTGCAGCAGCGTTACAGCTTGGCCTGTTTGAGTCTGGAAAGCCATGAAGATGTCTTCTAAACTGCACTTCAGTGTAGCAGAAACAATTCCTGGAGTTCATAGCCCACGGTTTTGTCAAAGCAAAACGTCCATTTCAAATACTGCTGGCTTTTGCAATACTCAAATGCAAATACTTTTCAGCTCACTTCCTTAACAGCACATTACATTAACCAGACAAAGCTTTCAAAAGGCAGCATCTAGTAGAATTCTGATGCCTTTGGCTTTGTGGCATTGCATCACATGAAATCACCATCTGGGTCAGAGGAACAGATTTTTTCGGGAGAGCCCTGTGGAGGCTCTGGAGCTGTGACATGATGTCATGCACACCACATGCTCCCGGGGCTAGCTGCCTACTGTCAGCACAAAGATTCCCATTAGGAAAAAAGCCTAAGCTATGCTACAGTCTGTGCCAGCATAGTCATCAGAATTATACAATAACAACAGAAGCTTTTGTCTTAGAGCGCTGTCGAAACCTGCCTTGGAACAGTCACAGGGCATGAAAGGGGCAGAGGGACCTGTCATACCCTGGGTGTAAACTGGATTCACTGCTGAGCTGGGATACGCTGTGAGGTTCAGATGATCAAGCTACCCTACTTAGAGGACAGTTTGCTACTCAGGTGCCACTTAAAGCATGATGATGCTAAAGGTCTTTCTTTCTTTGGAGCCTGAGGAAGGGAATCTGATCTACTCCTGTAGATCAGACAGAAGATGTAGTTCTGATCCCATCCTGGGATAACACAACAGTGATCATTGCCAGACCTTCCCTTCACTCCAGGACTACGCTTGTTGTATTGTGAATTTGAGACTGATCCTGCCATGGTCACTTGGGTAAATACTCCATCCATGTCAGTGACCCAGATGGTGCAGCCTCTCCATAGGAAAGCTACCAGTTTATTCCAGTCTAGAAGTTATGTTTTAAGTAATGAGTTTCCATTTAATCAGATGATGGCTTCAGTATTCATTTGGATAGGGATTAGCTGAGGAATTCAAGATTTGCCCCCTCTGCAGCTAAGAGATATGTTTGAAGAGAATATATTTTTGGATGGTTCTTTAAAGACATTATTTGTGTCGAAACCTTTTCTGATAACATCATATGTACAGTAAAACTGCAAAGGTACTGCTAAAGCAACCCCTTAGACTAAGTCCAGAGCTTGTGCCTTCCTAATCTCTTGATGTTCTGAGTTAGCCACAATTATCCACAAATATTCTGGAGTATATAGTCTAGGTGTACTGTTTTCCGCTATAACACATTCTCTGATCTCCTTTTAATTCCAGAGGAAGAATGTTTTCTTGACAGAAACAGCAGAGCAGCTCCCGTCGCAGTGGGCCTGAGTATCTTGGGATTGTTTGTCATTGTATTTGTCACTTTCCTGATTTCCAGAAGAAAGTCACATAGAGGATACGAACGTATCTGAGGTGCCCTTGTATTTCCAAATGTGTACAGCAAGTACAGACGTCACAGGAGTTTTAGCATCTATGTGGAAATCTCGCTGCCCTGAAGCCACGTTTTTCAGTGGGATGACACCATGTCTTTAAAGCTCATTGTTTCTGGTAGTGATTGCTTTAAGGTGGGAAGGAGAGAACTCACACCGTCTACTTTAGGCTATTCTTAGCATCTAATTTACGTGTAGTCCAGAGGACCAATGTGAGGAGCCTAAATTCTTTATATTACCAAAAAAGGAGGCAATCCAGACCACCTTAAGTCAGATGCCTAAAAATAGCTTAAAGCAAGCAGTATCACTACTCTCCAGAAAATCCATCAGGTTTGTTAAAAACAGCGTTTAGATTTATTAAAATGATGATGATGATCCCAGCAACATGACCTTCAAGTGAATAAACCAGAGGTCCACAGCTATAGACAATGCTGTTACATCCAAGCTCATTGAGAGCCTCGTGGGAACACTGTAACTAACAGCACTCAGTAGCTGTCCTCTACTGAGATGGCAGCACTGTGATCTCTCTTAATCCAGGAAGACACAACGCTCAGCTGAACATGCCAGGGATTAAATGGGCACAGTTTTGGTTGACCTGCACAAGGTCCCTGAACAAATGGAAATCCACTGACGCTGTATGCCCAAGGCTTCTGTGCCAGCTTTTATCTCCCACAGGCCTTGAAAAAACTCTCCACCCAAAAGCGAATGCTTAAGTATGCTTAGAGCTGAGCAGCTGGATTTTCACATGGAAATAATTTGGAGATGCTTTAAAGCACACTAACTGATCCATTCTGTAGTCTGCTTCCTGCTAAGCCAGTGATGAAGGCATGGAAGTAGTAACTGGGTTTGGGATTAAGTTCAGCTAATGTTCTTTATTGTAACAAGGAAAATCTCCTTGTCACAAAGTTTTTACAAAGATGCACAGATGTGTACATCTACACACATCACACAGTCTGTTCACTGCAGCAAATGACATTAAAATTTTAAAAAATTAGATATATAAACAATTACAAAAGAGAAAATAATACTAAATAAGAGCACACTTCCCCCTAGGACTTAGGGTAATGGCTTAAATTCTGCCAATAAAGGTTTTTCCTGGAAAATGACTATGGAATGGCACCCATTAAACAAATGAAAGACTGAAGTCATCTGTAAAAACTCCTTTTTGTTAGTTTAAGATGGATCTAAACAAAATAGAAATGCTGGGAGCTACTTTCATTTCCAGTAATAATGTCCCAAATCCTGAGAAATTATTAATGGCGATGGAAGCCCACTGAATTTTCTCTGGGTAAAACTGATACTATGTTGTGAGCTTAATTTCCCTTCAGTATTTTTAAAATAGTTTTTATATTTTACTAGTATTTAACCATTGATAATTTACTTATTTAAATTAAGAAAGAAAAGAAATCCATTCCCTGAATTACTAGAAGATGCTGGTCTGTGTCAAGCAGGAAACATAGTCATATTGTCCCATAATTGACATAATATGTAGCTGTGGAAGTAATCAACAGTCTCCAGAAATGTTCCCTTTGACTCTGAAAGAACCAATAACTAGGAGAAAGCCAATTTTGAAGAACTTTTGCACTTGGAGAAACTTAAGACAGATGTCAGAACCAGCTGAGGGTAAGGGGGACAGCTGGATATGATTATAAGGTAAAGCAGCACAAGAAAGCAAATACAAAATTTTCAAACCTTTAACCTTTACAGATACAGTGAACTGAGTGGTACTCAGTTGAATGCTGAAATTGAAACTAGAGTATTTAAATTACTGTTTTGTAAAAGGCTTCAGCACTGTTAATATTGCTTAGTGGACTTTATCTAGCTTAATTTCACCCTTTTTCCTTCCCCCCCAGGTTGGTGGACAAGCAAGTCAGGGTTCTCAGGGCTACTATTAATCTGTTGTTTAGAAATCAGATTTCTATATTTGATTAAAGTGTTCATTTTTAAAACAAAAGAAGGGATGAGAAGTCCAGCGGGAGAGGTAAACATATGGAAAAGCTTCAATTCAAAAATTAGCCTATTTATGCAATAGTGATGCTCCTGTCCCAAACCATTACACATGGGTGTTTGAACAACAAACGTCGCACATGATATGACCCTAAGCAATTCTGACCAGTTCTAGACATCTTTCCCATTGAAAACTGAGTCCTAGTTCACATGTTCTTTGGATTCTTGGGTTGCATGATCCATACAGTCTGTTTCTTCTACTGATTTGGATCTAGCATCTTCGTGTTATATTCTGTACTGAAAAATACCTTTGTTACTATTCAGTATTTTGATGTTTGATGTCAATGTGAGGAGAGAAAACTGTTCTTAATGACTGATAATTCTGTTTCATTTTGTGACATCCTCTGGCATTTTTACAGACGATGCAAGGTTAATATTTTTTCACCCCATGCTTTTTTCTTTTTACAGTGAATCAGACTGTTGGTATTGAACCATGTTTGGATTCAGGTTTACCACATTTGTTCTTATGATTTTTGTTGCTGTTATTTGTCTGCTATTTTTATGAAGCTGCATAGTACCCTTTCTAGATGAATAATACCCTGGGCTTGCCCTAAATGGCACAGGTGAAGTGCACGTGGAATAAACCGGTGTAACAACTGGATGCTCCTGTGAAATGCTGCCCACATGCGGCAAAACTAATCCAATAGAGTTAATGCTTCACATAATAGTCGATCCACTGGAGAATCCCTTACTGCAGCAGGAGATCCCAGCCCCAAAGTGAAACCTTTCTCCCACCTGCAGCCCAGCCTGAATACTCTCACCTCCTTCCCTGACCACAAACCACACAAGCAGCCTGCAGCAGGATGTGTGTCAGCATGCCAGCATAGCAGGGAGTGTTGCCTCCCTGAATTTTATGCTCAGTTAGAATACGACAGCCCAGCTGCTCCCTGAGTTGCCATGTGCAGCTGTTAAAGCTGATGCCTGTATTTATTTTCTGCCAGAATTTAGACAGATACTTGGCTGGCAGTTTTTTATCTAATGGAGATGCTTTGAGGTCCTCCACCCAATGGAAAGACTCTACAGGTGTAATTGGTCTTGGTTGCCAGACTTACTTGTTTAAGCATCTTGTCTGAGGAAACATTTTGAGCAAAAATTTCCCTAAAATTTAGGGCAAAAAGTCCCTAAAACAGCACCATACAAAGAACAGGCTCTTATGATAAACAAATTGTACAATAGATGCATCCCAGCTGCAGACTCAGATCAATCCATTGCTGAACCAGAAGACCTTGATCATGATGACATGATGCATTCCATCAGGGAAGCTACACTTAACTTGCTTGCAAGCACGTGCTATTCAGGATACAGCGGGGCCACTTGTAGAAATTAGGAGGTATGCACACCCCTATAGCTCCCTGATGCTCTGCTGCACTTCTCATCGCAGACCATTCACTATGGTCTCTTGCACACCCAAGGCAGACACAGGGCATCACATGAGTGTGATGATGTCATACTTAGCCAAATCACCAAGGAGTTTATGAAGCAAGATTTAATTTCTTTCAGTCCCTTTTTTCTTTCTGATGGACAAAGTCCAAATTCAAAAACAGCTGTTAAAACTGGCTGAAAGAGGAAAGGAGCTGCAGATCACCCCCTTGAGTGTCTGAAGATGGTTTCGTGGATCACTTCTAGCTTGCTATAGTAATATATGGTTGCTAAAAATTATCTGCTATGAGAAATAAGATGTGCTTTTTATTTTTCTATTATCGGTGTTTCTATAATAAAGTTTGCATGTAGTCATTAAAGTGTGCCTTGCTATGTAATAATTTTCTCTCTCAAGGGCTGTTTTACCTAAACTGTTTAATGTGCAAATACAGTCTAAGAAACAGGCAGAGTCCTATGGGCTCTGGACACAAGCCACAGACCTAGATTTGCTTCTATCCTAAGCATAACTTTAATGATTATTTCTTCTGTGGCTTGGGCAAATCATCTGATGTTTCTATCTTTCTATCTTCATAACATCTATTTCTATATTCTATCTTCATCACCATTACAAAAAACAAAACAAAAAACAACAACAACAACAAAAAAGTATTGAAAACATTGTGTGGTTTTCTGTTCATCTCCCCACAATTTCCAAAGGTCCTGAATTCAGTTTCTTTATACAACCAGATCTTTTTTTGCTTCCTATTGGTCCAATAAACACAGACCATAACTCACAGCAGATGTGATGGGTGCTTTACACTTTGTTTAAGCTGCTTTCACAGATAATAATCTTAAGAATTATGATAAGAGTCTTCTGAGGAGAATGCATCCTTTCAGTGTGCATTTATGGAAACTAGATGAAATAAATAGCTTGGAAAATACCACACATGAACTTGAGAATTCAATGGTCAAAGGAATTTCCCGAAGGATGAGATCTGGACTAGATGATCTTTCAAGGTTCTTTCCAACCCAAACCAGTCTGTGATTCTATGTGTCTGCTGTGATTTTGCTGTTTCGTCACATCAACAGCCAGCTTAAAATATCATAACAGTAGGGCAATTGCATGAGATAAATTTCTCAATAAAAGGGGGCACACAGAAGTGCTTCAGCTTCATCTCTGCAGGTTTATCAGAGAAATCTGAAACCAAATCTGCCTAGATCTATGTTAGGCTAATGATTTCAGCCAGACCCCATTTTGGGTGCAGGCTCCAGTAAGGCCTCTAAGGTCATTGCTGGGAGGTTGTATGATAGAGCTGGGCTGGTTAGGAAAGAGAAGGGTGGGTAGACAGATGGGGGAACAGGACACTGCCTTCTCAGTGGTGAGCTAGATAAGGCTCCGAAATGGCTGAATGTGTCCAACTCATCATGCTCTTCACGGCTAAGAAAACAAAGATTTTTAGAAGGATTGCAGGAAAGCAGAAGATGTGGTTAAAATGGTGGAAAAAAACCCCAAAACTATCTCTGTGCTGACAGCAGCTGATTCAGGAACTTATCTGTTAGAGAAGTGCTAGTGAGGGCAGCAGAAGAGGAGTAACTTCCCTCAGTGATAAAATACC